GTAAGTGTTCCTTTCAGATTCTTTTCAAACCTATGTTATATTTAGCATTCCATCTCGCATACTCGTACATTCAATGTACTGATGTCATTTGGCCTGCATCTTTTTATGATGCAAACACAGGTAACCAGTATCAGCATCCAGCGCACCGTTGATTCTAGTTGAGCTCCAGAGTTTGTTGGTGAGCCTCTTTGCTTTCGGAGGATCCCTTTTTATTGCTTTTCAGTATTTAGTTCATTAGGATGTTGTGGGTCTTGTCCCGACATCCATCTCAGTTATTAGAGGCTTCATAGATAGATAGTCAGTTAGTTCATTTGTCTTTATCTTGTTATTGACTTATGTTCAGTTTTGAGTTGTCACTTTGGCTAAGTTAAATGTTTATTTCTAAAACATTATGAGTTTAGTTTGAGACAGTTGAGTTATCTTGCATTTGAGTTCTTTTCTTAATGCTTAAAGTCTTCCGTTGAGTAAGTAAGTCAGGCCAAGGGTTCGCTTGGGGCCAGCAATGGTTCTCGAGTGCCAGTCCCACCCAGGGTGTAGGCTCGGGGTGTGACAATATATAAATTTTTCTTCTTTTCTAATTTGGGAGCACAAAATAATTTTAGTTAGCGTAAATGTACTCAACATTACAAAAATCTAACATCCAATTTCTCAATTTCACATATTAGCCACAAGATTCGCTTGAGAAATGACCACAATAATTTACATCATTCACTTAGTTTTTTTTTTTTATTTAGCGGGATTATCATTTTTCCGAATCTTCTCAAACATAGAGGGATATGATAACATAGTTTTCCACTGACAAAACAATAATCATTTTGAGTTTAGCCATAGCTAATTATATATTTATAGTAAAACAAAATATATCCACCTGAAATTCACCTCTTAATTAACTACACATTTTGGTAAAAAAGAAATGAACCACTTTAATGTTTTTAGGACGTATGTAGTTTTAGAAATTCACTGCAGGATAACTCACATGATTATTACTATTGGTAAATATATTATGATATCAGTTACCAGTTTTTGGTATATCATTCATAAATTCGAATTAAAAGTTTCAGAATAATGACATACCTGAAATTGCTTTTCCATAAGATTATAATAAAATATCGTTAAGATTGTTGGAAATCTTACGAAAAATACCTATATCACGAACACTTGTACGGATTTCACCAAAGCTTGTACTTCACCATGAACTCTTATAGGAAATTCTCATAGCTTGAGGCGTATCGAAAAACACTGTCCTTAAGGATATTTCACCCGGTATATATAGGTGTATCCCTTAGGATTCAACAAGCTCTTCTAATACAAAACTAGAAGCCAGAAACTAACAAAGATACACAAGAGAAAGAAAATCCAGCACATGAAACATGGACTAATGAGAAAGGAAAATCTCTCTTTTAACTTCTTTTTACGTGATAAGAGGATTAATGGGGCATAAAGGATAATAATGGGAATGTTTAAACCTGAAAGTCAACTGCCAAAATATGGCTTTCAATGGTGGAAAATATAATGGAATTATGGCTAATCAAGGCTAGGCATTCAAGCACAATAAATATATATTTAATAGTCATAAACAAGATCAGAAAGAATGTACCTAGACAATACTATGAATACTTCTTTTTGAGATATTAGAACAATTTTTTCAACACGATCAATGTAAGACTAGAGTTATTAGTCTTTGTTATGTTCACAAGTTTGAATAAGTAGATGAGTTATTTTGTGGGATGATTGGGCAATTAAAGGGTTAGAGTTGTTAGTCTATATTGAATTTGTAGTAGAATTATTATAGAAAACTTTCCACAATACCTCATTGCATTCTCTATTGTTTTATTTTAACTCAGATTTGTCACATAGTAATTGAGTCGGTTGGAGGGTGCCAAGTCTTTCATTATAGCAACCATCTTCTTTTTTTGTTTGTTAATATAATAACCATTTTTATAAAAATAGAATCTCTAAGATTACGTCTAAAGATTTTGATATTTTTATACACCATTTATGACAAACAATATAAATATAATATATATATATATAAATCATTAAAAGATTTTTCTTGATTATACGAAATGTGATGAAGCTTAGCATTTGAAATTTAAATTCTTCCATGCAATCTTAAATGAATTTAATTTTTAAGTTAATTTAAAATGTATGGCTTAGAATTTAAATCTTCATACAGAGTTAGGGCCGAATGGATCGAACAAATAATTTCACTTAATGGTTTGGCCTAATGGATGTTGATTTTTAAATTTACTAATCCACTAGTCAACATATATATAAGATATTGGTTAGTTTGATAACGGAGCTTATAGGGTGGTGTATCGGCTAACCTCTACCTTTTTTCTCCATGAACGTACCTTAAAAAATGACTTCTTATCACTATTTTAAATGCAATTAAATTATAAAATTCTTCTATAGTGCAAAAAATAAAGATTAATACTAATGTGATTGTTAATAACAGATAAGTAAATAGTTTTTCATGTTTTTGGTTTTATAGCATTAGAACTAACAATATAAAATTATATACTATGGAAACATATTAAATGATATATATGGTAAAAGTGGAAGTATGGTAACTCTTAACGGGTTAACGGTTTATCCAATAAGGAAATTAAATAATCCGTCTCACACCGATAAGCCATTAATTAAAAAATTCTAAGCCATTCATCAATCGTTTATTCAATAACCAAATACCAATGAGCCAATAGGCCAATTTGCCAATTTTGCAGTTGATTTATCGATTACGATTAGAATAATGAAATTATGGAAATTATATTAACTCTTGCTAATTTTTAGTTAGTGGAGTATGAATATTTTTTAGATTTAAACTATAAATATTTTTCTCATTTTTTATAACATAAAAAAGAAATTAGATCTATGCATCTTATTTTTATTTGTAACAATCAAATAAAATTTAAATGTTCGAATGTTATTATAGATGTACAACAATTAGTCAGTTGCTATGATAAAAATAAAAATCTCAAAATAAACAAGATTATTATAGAAAAATTTGACTGTATATCACGTACCTGAAAAACTCCCCAATCTTTGCAAGCAGATTGCAACTTGTCATGTTCAAAAACCTTCTTGTCATCCATTGTTAGCTCTTTGAAGTCTATTACTGGAATTGAAGAAGTTTCCTTCACAACTAGCTTTTGAAAACTCATTTTCTAGCTTTTGAAAAATATATTTTCTCAGGTAGTGGTGGAGTATTAGAGAGGAGTATATATATAAATATCTATTAGACAATAACTCACTATTATTAAGTAAATCAGATAATAATTTTATTTATTTATTTTATTCTTTATTATTTAGGAAATGTAATTATTATGGTTATTTTGAATTGGATTTCTTACTAAATTTATCTTCTTTTATATTTTTTTCTCCTCTTAGAATAATAGTAGAATTTTTAATGAAAATACCAAAAAAGCATTTCAAAGATCATATCATATCATACACTAATAAGAAAGAATTATTTCTCTTTCCATGAAAAAGTAAATCAATCAATAAATATTATGTTTATTTTATTCATTACTTCCTCTATTCCGTATCAACTGAATTTGTGAGATAATACACTTATTAAGAAAAATATTTAAAGATATAATTTAAATCATGTTTTCCACTATTTACTTTGTAAATCATAAATATAATTTTGTAAATAGTGTAATTTATATCTTAGAAAATATCAAACTTCATTAAAAGAAAGGACAAATATGAAAAAAAATTCAAACATCTGTCTTAAACTTCAAACAATTTAATTATTTTAAACAATGAAAAAAACCTAAAAAATTCACTTAATATAAAATAAAGTGAGTACTGATTAGGAATGTAGGTAATGTGGTCACTTTGAATTGGATTTCTTAAGAGTCATTTAAAAAAAAAATTCCTTTTTTCCTCTTAAAAATAATAGTAGTATTTTTAATGAAAAACTAAAAAAAAAAAAAACTTTCCAGAGATCATACAAGTCATATTTTTATGAAAGAATTTTTTGCTTTCCATTATTTAGTATCAGTTAATATATATTCTACTTATTTTATTCATAAATTTTTAGGAAATGCTACTAATGTAGTCACTTTAAATTATTACTTACTAAATTTATATTTTTTTCTTCTCCTTTTAGAATAATAGTAGAACTTTTATTGGAAAACTAAAAAAAATAAATCAGAGATCATACACGCCATATTACTAAGAAATAATTTATTATCTTTCCATTATTATTAAGTAAATTAATCAATAAATATTCTAATTATTTTATTCATCATTATTTAGGATTTGTTACTAATGTAGTCACTTTAAATTGGATTTCTTACTAAATTTATATTCTTTTATATTTTTTCTTTTCTCCTCTTAGAATAAAAGCAGAACTTCTATTGAAAAACCAAAAAAAATAAAAAAAATCCAGAGATCATATATACCATATTACTTTAAATTGGATTTCTTACTAAATTCATTATCTTTTATATTCTTTTCTATTTTCTCTTTTCTCTTAGAATTCCTTAATGAAAAACTAAAAAAACTTTTCAAAGACATGCACACCATATTAGTAAGAAATAATTTATTTTCTTTCAATTATTAAGTAAACCAATCAATAAATATTCTACTTATTTTATTCATTATTATTTAGGAAATGTAACTAATGTGATGATCACCTTAAATTGAATTTCTTGCTAAATTCATTTTCTTCTGCGTTTCTTATTTTCACTCTCCCAGAATACTAGATTATTATTTTGAATAAAAAATTGAATTTTTCACTTTGTTAGACGAAAATGGTATATTTGAGTCATTTATGTAACTGTAGGGGTATATATCAACCACTTTTGTAACGAGAGTATATCAGCTCTAAATTGCAAAATTGAGGGTTATATAAAACCCTTTTCCCTTTTTTGCCCAGGTACTCCATTATCTTGGTTAAAACAACACTGACCTCTTCCACAGAGCAAATATCCATTCAGGACCTAGCATTTTTACTGCAGCAGTAAAAGAAAACTTTCGTAATACAGTCAAACCTCATTATAACGATCATTCATTGTGATAAAAAATGACTCCGTACTTGAATGTTCAATTGCACAATACATGCCAAAACTACTTATGGATTCACGTCCCATATATGTATGGGAAATTTCTTCAGAAAGTATGTGTAGCTCAAAGCTTACTGTTGACAGCCAAATACTTGGTATGGCGACCTTGTGCAACTATCTTCCCCGTCTTTTTCTTCCTCAACTCAACAGTGACAGCAGCGATTGACTTCCCAACTCGTAATGCTTTGGCTTCAAGTTCGATTTCCTCCTGATTATGTAAGACAGACAATGATTGAATGAGGATATTGCATTGTATCCTTTTGAAAATTAGAGAACATTGACTTGCACCATACAGAAAATACAGTCCTTAAATGGAATAATATATGCGAAAAAGCATATCAACGGAGTGCTACTTATTTGGCTATAACAAGTCATCTTAGGAGTTTTAGCAAGTAAAACAAACAAAAATTAGGTCTATAACCAATCAACCAAAAAAGAAGGATGAGATTCAGCAAGCACATTAATACAAGAAACAATGAAAGTTCCCTGCTTGGTGCAACTTTTTCCAGCTAATATAAGCGAAGTACTTCCTATTTCTTCTTCTTTTCTTCAACAATATACGACAACACATCACAAACTATAAGTTTTTCACTCGTATCTATCTATGTTGCAACTAATAGCACTAAGGTCAAGTGCTTTAAGTTGCTGGTAGTTTCGGCTCATAGGTAGTATTGCTTTACATTCAAGATATCAGGCTGAATAATAGTCTCCTTTCAGTCTACTAGATTATCACTTGTGCTAAAATTGTATATTAGATGCCTGATATAACAAGATAAAATTCTCTATATACTGTCTAATCGTGAATGAAATTACATTTCATTCTAATTCCCTATTCTTTATCGCCAAGAGATTCTTCCTTTGAAGATAGCGTTAACATTCTACAAGAAGATTAAATCCAAAGCTTCTATATCAAACCGGTCGAATTGTTAAACTGACTATTGATGAAGTTCGTGCTATTGCACATGTTTATCTTATAGATGTAAAAGCCATCCATGTGTATCCCAAAATGTTGCATTGTTGGAGGTTGGTGAATGAAGAAGGCCAATTCTGCTCTGACATCCTAGAGTAGCATTTATAAACTAAAGTTTGTGGCATTCCTAAAACCAGAACACACTTTATCGCATAAGACTTCAAAATAAGCTTCAAGAACATTCCGATTAATTAAGTTTTGCTCATAACGAAGTTACACTCTGCTAACTATACTTAATGCAGTTCAAGAAGCTATGCAAATAGAACTGTATATAACATCAAAGACCTCCACACGAAATAAGGGCCATAATTCTTTCATAACAACACTATAATTCCGTCTAAAAGTTCATCCTTCTTATGATTTATTGTGAAAGATAACCATAACCTCGGTGCAAAATATCCTCATTTTCCTATAAAGCTCTCTCTTTTACTAGTTAGCTTTTCTTCTCGGAGAGAAGTTTCAGTGAGACCTATTACTACCAGTGTTATCAAAGGCGTGCTTAAGCCCTGAAGCGAGGCTCAAAACGTGTTGAGCACTTCGCCTCGCTTTATGTGCGCTTCAGTGTCGTCATCAAGATTCTAAGGCAAACTTTTCCTTGCAATGAGCCTCTTATGAAGAAGTGACACAAAACAATTGATATTTCACTTTATCATAATTTTTTTTCAATTTCTTTGGTCATATATTTGTCATTCATGTTTATAATTATTGGTCTTGGACTAAACATATATATTTGTATTTTTTTCTCCCTTTGAGCCTTTTTTCATCAAAGCCCACGCTTTATTTGTGCTTTGCGCTTAAAGCTCCACGGACCTTAGAGCCTTTTTGCGCTTTTGATAACACTGATTACTACGCAAACAACAACAACAACAAGCTCAATGTGATCGATCCCACAAGTGTGGTTTGGGGAGGATAGAGTATACACAGACCTTACCCCTATTCGGGAGGTAGAATAGCTGTTTCAAATAGACCATCGGCTCAAGGAAAACATATCAAAGCAAATCGAAAAAGAAATAACGAAAATGAAGAAATCATGGAAAAATACTATAAAAAGCATACTGAAAAAATGAAACAGTAACTGCAACAGAATAGCTCGATTATTAAAGTACAAGAGTCAATAGACAGTAACAGAAATCAAAGGACAAGAAACTACACGGGAAATACTACGACTATCAGTATGGAAGTATAAGCAAGACAATGCTCCACCACCTAATAACCTTCCACCCTAATCCGTGTCCTCCACATAGGACAGCCTCCCGTCTAAGGTCATGTCTAGAATAAGATAATAACTTCCAAACTCTTAGCACATTTCTGAGGTGAAGACGAAAGACAACATAGAGCCCTCTATATCGCTTGCAAATCAATAAATATACCATAATCTATACTTGAACAGAATGAACAAAGGAGGCAAATTCACAACCACAAATATGTCATCCCAAACTCCAAAGATGAATCCTTACTCAATAACTGTACCAAATTGTAATCTGAACAAAAAAGAAGAAACTCACTCCGAGATAAGCAGCATCCAAATATGAAACGTTGATCTCAAGTGATACACCAGTGAGTGGCGCACCTACAGTATGAATAACAGCAGAACCCATAATATCCACCAGAGTCGCCGTAGCTCCGCCATGTAGAAAATTACCGGCATTCTGTTCCGATCAGAAATCTCAATTAATTAATTAAACAAAACAACAAAAATTGTAGATATAGAAGCATGAATAGTAATTCACCACTAGACGAAGAGGGACTTCGAAAGAACAGAGAATCCGACCCGGCTCAACAAGGTCAACCTTTATCCCATGGGTGACAAAGGGTTCAATAAATCTTGAAGGCATGGAATCCACTGAGGTTTCATAGTTGCCTCCTTCTTTCTCCAAGAATTTCTTCAATGATTCAATATCCATTTCTGCTACTGATCTCAATTTGCAGACCCAATTTAATTGAATTGAATTATCTTATGGTTTTCGTGACGTATTCAACCAATAGGAACCATGTGTATGATGGTGCGTTTTGTGTTAGTTACCTATTCTATTATGGACGGATAAGTACTCCTTCATTTTTAATTAATGATTTCGGATTTGAATCTTCTTAGGTACAAAGTCGTCTTTGTTAGAGAGTG